CACACACACACACACACACACACACACTCACTCACTCACTCACTCTCGCTCTCTGTAGGCGCGTGTCAACAGCTCGCGTGTGTGTCGCGGCGTCGGGCAGGAACTTAACAGGAGCTCAACAGGAGCTTGACCTTGACAGACTGAGAGACCATCCTCCTCATCATCCTCCTCCTCATCCTCAGCGCGAGGTCCAGTTCAGCGCGCGTGAAGCTCAGCTGGCATTTCCTGGTAAGAGTTTAGCTTCATTCCCTCCTGTCAAATTCAAAACAGATTATCGTGCCACTTTTCCGGTTTACTGTGACGCAACAAGGTCATTTTGAGCCGACGAGGAACTGGGTATCCGACTAATCTTGTTTTACAACAGAAAGAGCTGAGGAAAAGTTGGCAGAACTTTGGGCTAGCTTGAGTTAGCGCGCTAGGCTAATGCAGCTGTGGCGGTAATGCACCCGAGACAAACATCTAAATGATTTGGTTTCACGCTCAAAAACGCGTTATTCATTCTGTCAGTAACTTACCCTGTTGTGAAAGTGAGTTTGAAGCTGTTTTACAGAGTGTCGTTTGTGGTTTTAGCAGTGACATGGCACGGTTAGAGCATTGTGGCTAAGCTAACGTCTCTTGTGGAGGTTTAGTACCTCTTTTTCTCGTTATCTCATTAGTATACTCTGGGGATTGTCTAAACGGAGTGTGTTGTCAACGGAAATGCACACACACACACACACACACACACACACTCTCAGGTGTGTCTGTCTGATTTACAAACTCTGGCTCCACAGGGACGAGTATTGTGGGGTTAAAATGGCAGTTTATGAATATTCATAAACTGTGTGTGTGTGTGTGTGTGTGTGTGTGTGTGTGTGTGTGTGTGTGCGTGTTGCAGCCTGGCTGTGTGAACACGACTGAAGCCGACATAAAGAAATCCTCCCGGATGAAGCAGCCACACAAAACACGGAAGGTGAACACACACACACACACACACACACACATTTACGGTATATATACGTCTCATGTTCCTGCCAGAAACAAATCTTGGGGCCGTTCACACATGTCTAAAAACGCAAGATGCTGCGTTCAAGATAAAAAGCGCAGAACAGAATGCCTCCTCCGACATGATTCCATCTAATAAAACAAAAGTTTACTACTGTAAACAAAAGTTTGCAATGCTTGCCCCGCCTCCAGTGTCTTCTGATTGGTCCACTGTTCTGGAACTGACATTAATGACATTAAAATTCTTTTAACTCAACACTGCTTCTTAAAAACACTCCGCTCATGTGTGCGACGCTGCAAAAGACGCAAGACATGAGCGCAACCGTCATACACGTCTGTCTTCACTGTAAAAAAAATTCACCACAGCTCCCAGTTTTTTACCATAAAATATACGGTAGCAACATTTTAGGGTTTACGGATTTAACTTACATTTACAATTAAAAACCGTATTTCTACATTTTTGTATGCTATATATATGTGTCATATATATATATATATAGAAGGTGCACAGAGTCATTCACACAAACACCAAACACCATCATGGTGACACACATGAAACTGAAATATGCAATAAACTTTAATTTAACAACATTAGATGTAACATACAACCCTAATAAACATAACATAAGAAAAAAACTAAGACATTATTTAAAAGAAAAAACATAAAATTTTAAATGCAATGCAGGGAATTCTGGGAACATCAATTTACGTTTTTTCACTGTAAATTATACATTCTTTTTCTCTTCCAAAAATGGTAAATTACATTAAATGTCTATTACAGTTTTTCACCGTATATAACAGGGGAACTTACCGTTAACCATTTAACAGGTTTTTACTGTAGCATTTTCAGTGTTTTACCGTGTAGTGCATGTTTACGTAGAAAATCAATGGAAAGTAGCACATTGGAACGGAAAAACACGTTCTGTGTGAACGACCCCTTATAATTCCGTATAAAGTGACAGGTCACAGTTACATGACGTTTATTGCAGGTAAATGTAAAAAAGATGATGCCACAGTAATCATAAAGCTCAGTCTGTGTGTGTGTGTGTGTGTGTGTGTGTGTGTGTATCTGTGTGTGTGTGTGTGTGTGTGTG